CAGCTTATATTTTAAAAGCAATCAAAAACAAAAAACAAAACAAAAAGGATTCAAAAATAAAACAAAACTAGTTTGTTTTTAATTTATTAACGTCGGTTTAAAATGTGGTGTAACTCTTTTTCTTCCTTATACCATTTCCAAAAGTATTTTAAGTTTGGACAAGCCCTTGATAGATTTGTTATTTCTTATTAAAATTTGATAAAGATTTCTTAATTTTTTTTAAATAAACATTCATGAAGTACCCTTTAGCTTTTTATTAAAAACGTTTACATGATGGTTCCATCGTTTAAAAAAAAAAAGTTAATAAAATATATTTATTTTTGTGACTTCTAGAATTAAAAGAATTTGCTCGAAATTCACACATTTCGATTATAATAGTAAACAGTGAAACAGCTCTTAACTAATTAACAATATTTCCTTTTAACAAACTGTGTAGGTATTTAGGAATGTACCTAATAATTATTATTTTTACTTAAACGAATGTATAGAACCATTAATGGCATTATTAATGATGGGTGAGTCCAGCACTGATAAAAATTGAAATACGCCAAACAAGCCTCGGGCAGTGTTTTGCAATAGTCGATTGAGAACGAGTCACGCCGAGCGATGCGTCGATGAAAATGCAATCGTGGAGAGAAGGAAGTCAAAATATTTAGTTTTATAGGTATTTCTGGGAATAACAACTTTCCGTATTTATATGATTACATCTTTATTTCAAATCCAATTTTAATTATTATTTTTTTATTCTCTTGAGAAAAGATGAAACTACATTTACATCGTTGTATTTGAAAAACAATTTATTTTTAATATAATAATTTGTCTGGTAAAGTTAGGTTCTTTTTAACAATTTTATTGAACTTACAGATTTTTTTCTGGTTGAACCGTTTATATTTTAATCAAAAGCGTCTGTAGGATTATAGTACAAGCCTTTATCTTTTTGCAAAAAACAAATTAATAAAATATATTCATTATTGTGCCGTCTAGAATAAAAACCCAATACCTACTCGAAATTCACACATTTTAATTGCATTTGTGAGCAGTGCAATAGCTCGCTTATTATATTTTTGCTTTCGGTTAGTCAGACCTATATCGTAAAATTGACGTTAGGACTTTAAATCAGTGGCGTACTGGTTTTAAATTTGTAGGTAAACACAAATTTATTTTGTAAAAGAAATGATTTTATATATTTTTTTAACATTTGATAAATATAGTTGTATTTTAGTCCTTGAAATAGAGTGTAAAAATCTATTACACACATGAAGCGACTAAAAAGTAGTTAAATAAATAAATATATTTCTCTTAGGATTAAACTTTTAATTATAGTTTCTGTGGCGGGGAAAACTTAAAAAATGGGTAAAAGGTGGAACAAATACCTCTAAATTTGTTCTTATAGAGTTATTCTTTGGACTATTCTCAGAATATTTTGTTTTTTGATAATTTGTGAAAATCCGCTTTACTTCGAAGAAACAGGGTGAACAAAATTTCGACAGTAACAACATTTTATTATCAAAAAGTAAAGTTAGGATTTGATGTGTGCCGTATTAATAGAAATTCAATTTTTGTGGATATGACATGCATATTATAAAAATCGCTATGCATTACGGTCTCGATGATGGTGGGTGAGGTTTTCCGGGTTTTCGTCACCTGTAAGTCAAATGGCAAGCACCATCAATCATCTTTAAGTCGCCCCGGAGCGCTACGGCAAATAATAATAATAGACGTCCATTTCCCCGCACAAGCTCAGCTTTTGGGGTTAAAATTCACTCGTAAGGGGGTGAATTAGGGAGAGTATTATTATATATTATTATTATTACAATAAACGTTTAAAATGACTTTCGCTAGCAAGCATTCAATATTTTCATCACTCACTTTCGCAAATTGTATTCTTCCTGTATCTTCAAAACAAAGCGGGCTTTCACAAATCATCAGATAAAAAAATATTCTTAGAATAGTCCAAGCAATAACTCCTTGCTACTTTGCCGCAAGTTTACCAAACTCCCTGTATACAATACAAATTAAAAATAATACATACAACTCTTAATAGTTCGAAATAGACCCATTTTAAAAAGAATTTAAGCTTTAAATCTGAAAGTATCTGTAGGTACGAGAGTTTGTGAGGATATTTTATTTAATGAAAAGCTTGCAAATTTTAAATTAGTAGGTACTACATACAAACTTTATTATTATATACGAGGGTATATCAAATATAAACAGGACTGTTTGTATTAAAAATTTCATGGATGCACAATGGGCGTAGTGAGGACTAACCCAGCAAACACAAACATGTAACATATATGTATCATTTACATGTACTAGTTCCGTGTTACATAACAAAGTAACTTACATGTTACATAATAACTCACGTGATTACTGTGAAAAATGACCTAATTTTGTTATATAGCAGGTTCCTTATATGTGATGTAATGTATTAAGTACATGTAAGGAACAATGTTATATATCGGAAGACATGTAACATTTATATTACCATTGTAACATTTAATATGTTCCATTATTACAGCACATATACATTACTTTTTTCATATAACATTAGTATTATAAATGTTATATAAATGAAGGTATGTAAATGTGTCGTCTCAATAATAGGTATTAGTATTACTTAAGTTGAAACCATATGGAAAACTTTTTTGTTATTGGTTTTGTGAAAAAATGTATTCTAAATAAAAAGTTCTGCATGGTCCAAAACTTAAAATGCAATCATCAGATATTAATTTATTTAAGCTGTATACGAGGTTTGTCTAAAAATATGAACTTTACTCGAGAATAAAGTACCTTTATTTTTACAATACAGAAAAACATTATGAAGTAAAGTTATTTTGAATTAAAAGTTATATTAAAATATGCAATTACAGTCATTTAGCATGAAAATTCAGGTTAGGTGATTATTTACGTTTTACATTATTTGTAGTTATAAATTAATTAATCACCAAACCTGAATTTTAATGCCAAATGGCCGAAAGTGCATATTTGAATATAACTTTTAATTCAAAATAACTTTACTTCATAACATTTTTCTGTATTGTAAAACATAAAGGTACTTTACTCTTGAGAAAAATTCATATTTTTTGGCAAACCTCGTATACAGCTTAAAAAAAACTGATATCTGATGGTTGCATTTCAAGTTTTGGACCATGCAAAACTTTTTATCACAAATACATTTTTTCACAAAACCAATAATAAAAAAGTTTTCCACTTGGTTCCAACTTAAGTAGACACACTGTATAACAAATACTTAAAAAAAAAACGTCGGAAATATTTGGAGGATAAAGAAAAGTAATATAAACGTATTTGTTAGGTATATCAATAATTTTATTGGACAAATTTATAACCGAAACCAAAAATGTATTATAAAAATATTGCACACAAATATAATAACCCAAATTCATCATAAAAATCACAAAATATCTGCTATTAACGACGATCCACGGCCTCAAAATTCAGGGCCCCATAAAGTATGACCTGAAAAGAGAACAAAAATTAATATTTACACCTCAAATGTATCATCGAAATATAGCACACACATATAATAACTCAATTCCATTATACAAACACAACATACCTGCTATTGTTCACAAAAAATCCAAAAATGCCACAGGTACCTCCATAAAACGCCTATAGCCGCCATTGAACATTGAAACGCTACTAAAAATAATGCACCAGATATACCTACTTACCTACCTAAAAAACATGCGTATTTCAAGGACCGTTTGGTCAACAGCATTTATGTATATATACGATATGTAACATTTTGTACGAAATAATTTAGTACAAATTGTTACTTTAATGTAGATTACACATAGATATATAAATTGATATATTCTTTATGTGAGGAAATTTATATAACGGATATGTAATTTTTGTAACATATATTATAATTATATACATGGTATATAACTATGGTGCTAAGTTTGAACTTAGGTGTTCGGTTCCATAAATAACACATAAAAGTGCATACAAGACAGTCTAATAATATTTTATCCCTCTTAGTTATGTAACAGGAGGGAACATGTAACAGAATGGTTTGCTGGGAAGTGCCATGAGGTAACCCACCCTCCACACGTTACAGATACAGATATACATAATAGTACTCTAGCAGTACATAAAGGAGATTCTGGAAGAACATGTTGTGTCTTTCATGATATTTTCATATGTGATAATTCTAGGTAACACGCTGCTAGAGTTTTCGGTATCTGGTTATAATATAATTAGGCGTTCTGATTGACACATAGTCCTGTACTAAATCCCATCGAACCTGTCGGGGATGAGTTGGGATGATGTATTTGAAGGCATACACTAGCTCCAAGAACTGCCCGGCATTGATAGAGTAGCTGTTGGAGAAGTAAAATAACATCGATCACAGTGAGATCCTTAATTTATTTGAAAGTTTACCTTGTCGTCTACAAGCAGTTATTAAAACAAGAAGATGAAAAGTATTACTACTCATTCTTTTAGGTCCGAATAACAATAATTTGAAATTCCCTGAATAAATCCTAAAAAAATTAAGTTGTCTCATGTTAAATGTTAAGCCAAGAAAATAGTGTCGGTTAATTTTTAATTTACAAAAATTGTAAACTTAATATCGAGTATTAAAAAAATATATGACAATTTCAATGCGACCTAATTTTTTGCTTGCTAGTGTATATATTTAAAATAATTTTAAAGGCTTATATCTCAAAAAGTATTTAAGACATTAATGTCAAAAACAATTAATGTTTAGTGAAAACTTAAGATTGATATTTTTTATCAAGGCACGGTTTTAAAAATTCTTAGGAAAGTCTTTAATATACATTAAAAATTTTCTTTCTTTTGTACATCAGCCTTTTCATAAGCATTTTTTAACCACGCCTTGTAGTTTATCTCATTATGCAAAAAATAGCCAATACTTTAAAAAGAAAGTAGATAAATCAACACGAAATTAATTGGCTGCCACCAATCAAATGTACAGTTATTTATATTGAAAAAAATTAAACAATTTGTTGTAGCAAAGCTAGTCGTTCAAGAAGCTTAACGGTGATTATTGATGCCAGGAAGGGACCTTGGAAAGTTGCAAGGTCATGTATTCGACAAGTCAATGTCGTCTTTTCTCCGGATGAACTTTCAAAATTGATAGTTTTGAGGCCCGATGCCTTCTGGGATAAGCAGAGGGTTGAAAATTGTACTTCATCATCTAACGAGAAGCAGGTAAATTTATTAGATTATTTTTTTACGGTAGTTTTTTAGTACATTTGATAAACTTCCAAATAACAAAAATTTTACATTATATTATATATGCAAAATTTAAATTCTCTACCAAAGGATAAAAATAAATCTTTCCACTAAAATTTTATATTAAAAAGTCTAATTAATCTAATTTTAGCTATAACAATATTTTAAGGTATTCAATCATGTACATTATTCGTAATGCCTTCATTATAATTAATTTTTCTTATAAAATGATTTAAAACTGTAAGTGCACATACCTGTTTTACGTAAAGCAAATTTGCACTTTTTATACAATCACTTCACTTTAGTAAGCAATAACACAAATGTCGAGGTTCTTGGATAACTATCAACTCTATCCAAACTATAGTCTGTAGATTTCCAACTATCTTTCTGACGTCACATCTAAATGACTTCGATCTCTTAATCAGTGACTTTAGAATTATGGTTATTTTCAATAATAAAGCTTAATGAGGTGCTCAACATTCTATTCACGTGTTTTAAGTCAATCATTTATTTGAAACTCCTCTGATATGCGTTATAATGATGGTTGCAATACCATAGAAGGATCTGGTTCAGGAACCAAGTACTCTGAACGTTTGGGTAAATATCCAAACATCTTCCAGGTGGAATTCAAGCTATTAAAAAATGTATCCAGGTTAAACATCGATAAAAACTTCCCCAGACATGTTGGACACCCAAACAGCCATCTACGGTTACCAGCTCAGAAATATTCTAGAGGTGCCAAGAAAAACTAAATATACTAGACGAGATAAATACAGTAACTTGCACTTGGATAGCGGACACAAAATGATAAAAAGTACCAAGATTGCAGGCCCTCTCGCAAGGAAGGGACTGAAACACTGTTTATTTGACCTGAGCCGTTTTGTGGTATTGGCAGTAGCACAATAATAAAGGAGATTAAAGAATAATTAGGCAGTAAAAGAACCAACAGTTAGAAAGATCTCTAGATTCTAAAACGTTTCTGAGTGACAATAACTATGAAAGATCTATCTGCGCAAGGACAAGTTACACATAGTAACAGGGATCTTTACAGAATATTGCCGAACGTTATATTTTTAAAAAAATATATGAATATTGACATATATCTTGTATATTCCCAATTTGTCTGAATGTAAATATGACATATGTTATCCCTACGAAATATTATTACATTATTTTATATCTAAAAAACGACGATAAATCCGATTATTTACGTTGAACCAATTTTTAAAGACATAAGACGACAACGATGCAATCATGAAATCGCTGAATAATCATTGAAACAGATTTAGTACTAGTAAATCAATCAAGCATGGCGCCATTGCATTCTCTTGTGGTTTTCATTGTACATGACAGTTCACTGCAATATATAATAAGAATAATGCAGCTATACTCGTATACTATCAGATTAAATTACCCACGGTATTAGTATCAGGCACTTAAGTTACAAAGATTAGGTTACTTAAGGTTGAGAATGAAAGGCATTAAATAATTGAAAAAATGCCACCTGTTTGATAAATACCTCAACTGTTTTAATTAAAGTAATTTCAGTGCAGTATTGATTTTGGATGACTAGACAATCTGTGTTCAGCGTGTGCTTGCTAATTAAAACCAATGTTAAAAGAGACGCCGTTGTCAACTCATTTAAACTAGTATAAGCTGTTACTGCAGCAACTATATACAGGGTAATTCATTAGTTTATAAAATTGCAACGCCACCGGTACTATTAAAGATTTAAAAAAAATATAGTCACAATATGGTAGGCAGTACTAAACTTCTCGTACATATACAGGGTACCCCAAAATTGCTGGGACATAGAGCTATCACATTTAGTAGAGATCAAAAAAAGTCGATTGCACCCAATTTTTGTATATGTCGCAGGCAAATGGTAATTTCAGGCAAATGGCATTTGTCTAGGCAAATGCTATCTGCCTGAGCAAATATTGTTTTTTATTTTTCAAATGCAAAATGACTAGGCAAATACTATTTGACTAGTCACATAGCATTTGATGGTATTTGCCTAAGCAATTTGTAGACAAATGGGAATGGAAATATTTAAAATGACAAAATAGGCTCCAGTTTATTGAATGAACATTTGTTTTACAAAAATTAAAAACTAATTCTATGAATAAAAAATGTAAGCATATAACTTAAAGACAATATACATTACTCATAATGTAATATGTTGGATACGAAATACAAACAAAATTATAAATATTATATTAATTATTTGTTTTGACACGGATTGCTTAAAACAACGATTGGTATTACACTGACGTTTTGATGACTGACAATGGGGTCTATCCTGTAACAATTCCTTTATATTTAACGGCCTTTAAAAATATTTTCTTCTTTACTTCTGTCATTATTTAAACGGATCTTTAAAAAACATTAGACGACTATCTTAAAGAAATCTGTTTAAATAATGACAGAAGTAAATAAACGAATACAAATATATTTTTAAAGGCCGCCAATATTTTTAAAGGCCGTTAAATATAAAGGAATTGTTACAGAATAGATCCCAATGACAGTTTGAAAATCCTTGCCCCAGCAAATTATAAATTAGTAAACTGAATATTATTAATTCAGTTGTTTTAACTATTGCGACACAAGCTATGTATAAAACCTAGCACAAACTATTAGTTAACAGTAAAAAATCTAAATATTTACTTACATGTTCATAAAACTGATGAAAATTGTGAGCAGCAAAACACACTGTAAACAAAATACGTTCATATGATCAAATACCTATCAGTCATTTGCCTAAAAATGACTACGGCAAATGCCATTTTCCAAAGTAAATGACTTAAATATAAATTATTTTCATGAAGTCATTTACCCAGGTAGATAGCATTTGCCTAGACAAAAGCCATTACCCCTAAATTACTACTTGCCTGCGATATATATATCAAAATGTACCCCGTTTATCCATGAGAAAATTTCAAAGTTTACATAAAAAAAAAACACATTTTTGTACGTTGTTCAGAAATGAGTGAAACAAATTAAATTAAATTAAAGTTGACAAAAGTTTATTTTAGAAGATTACTCTTCTTTCTGTTATTAAAGAAACCCAAAATAAATTGTAGAAGGGTTAAAATCACCATTACACCCCGACTTTTTTTCGAACTTTCTTAGGGGGTGGTAATATGGTTCTCAAATTTTTAAGACTGATTTATTGCCTTCATTTTGTTATTCTTGTAAAAATTTCGTATTCCGCAAGGCAAGACATTTTTTTATTATAAATGTTCAATATGACGGCCACCTTCATCAATACAAAGAACAATTCGACGTAAAAAATTAAACTGCGCCCTTCTTAGGAAATCGTCGTTTTCTTATAGTGCATTTACGGCATTTTGAATTCTGTTCCACAGCTGTTCAGAAGTATTAATTTAAACCTTTTAACGCTACCCAGATAAAGAAGATGCAAGGATTTAAAACTGGAGACCATTGAATAGGTGCTTCTTATCCCCTACTAATCCATCTACCAGGAAATTATTCGTTTAGATATTCTCTTACTATACGTGCAAAATGAGGTGATGCACCGTCGTTCATGTTTCGATAAAAATGAATGGACAAGTCGTCTAATAAATCTGGCAAAATTTATTGGAGGAAGTGAAGGTAACTGGCATTATTAAGATGATCTGCCAATCGGATCGGCCCAACCAAAAAATTAATTAATTTTAAATTTTCGTTGATAGTGTCTAGCTTTAATAGCATGTGGGTTTTCATCAGCATAAACATCCTCATTGTAAAGGTTCCTTATGCCACGACGTACAAAACAAGACTCATCAGTAAACAAGATGTTAGTGTGAAGTTTTCTGCACTCCCGAACAATTTGTAAAAAAATATAAACGTGATCCGTGGTAAAGTGGTAATAACTCTTGCACTAGCGCTGTATATAAAATGGATGAACTAATTCTCTGCAGATCCGATTCATAGTGTTTTTTAGAATTCCTGTTCTTCTAGATCTGGTACTAATCTCAGAATTGTCATCGATTATTTTAAGAACAGTCTCTTCCGCCTTAGGTCTTCGGACTCGGGTTCTTCCAGCATTGATTCTTACTGGTTTCAACATCCCTGTATCTCGAAGACGTCTCTCGATTCGGGCAAAAGTTTTTTGATTCGGAATTCTCCGGTTCAGATGCCTCCCTTGATATACGCGGGCACTTCTGAGACATTTACCTTGACAAAATGACAGAATTTAAGAGATCATGTCGATCTGCTTATTAAAAGAGAAATCCATAACCGTTAAAATAACAACAATAATAACAAAATTAAATTTTTTTTTGGAATATTTACAGTCAACAATAAACTTGAATGATTATGAATTTGTATCCTGTCAAAATCACGACTTGTGTTACCTTTGTTTCCACTGCCATATAAATTTTGTATTACAATTTTATTAAACTTGAACTATACTTTGTTTTTTAACTAGGAGGAGCGAATTTACACAACGAAAAGTAACTAAATTCGTTACTAAGAGCGTGTTTTAAAATATAGTAATGTTGAAAGTCTAAGAAATAGTCCTAGTCGGCGAACGGCCAATGAGGGGTTAAGAGCGAATAAATGTCATAAGAGTCGATTTTTATTGGTCCCAAACCATGGTAGTAAATTTTACACTAGCAATCTGAAATGTGTTTAAAACGAACTGTCAAATGAAATCGAATATGGCCGTTGATTTGTTGACATTATGGTTTATCGGAAATATTATTTTTTTGCTTTTGAAATCGATTTTTTTAAATAACTATGATCTTTTTAAAATGGAGATTGAATATTTAAGAAAATAGTTAACAGAATATCTAGATGCAAGTTGGTATAAAATATAAAAATATGGTATGTTTACATTTTAAAGGATATATTTATTATAGTTATAAACTTAAGTAAAAGTTGATTAGTGGCTTGGACCCCTTTATCATACAGTACCATTTACTCTCAGTGGATGACAACTGATGCTTGAAACAACTGGATCACACAGAGACTGGAATTTTTCCTATGAGTAACATAGATATTGTAGCTTA